CCAACGGGGGGGGGGGGCACCCTGACTTTTAAAAGCAACCCCCCAAGTTTCCCTTGGTCCACAAGAAGGCTTGGGGAACGGCCCCCTCTCTTCTCTTCTCTTGGATCCTCTTCCCACCTGGGCCGAGTCGTTGCAGTTCTACCGCGGGGAGCAGGAGGTGGGGGTGGGGGGTGTCAGGTAGTCAGGAGGGAGGGGGGGGTAGGGATTCTCCAGGAAGACGCGCAAGTCGGAAGGGGCTGGAGTAGCACGTCCCACAGGGAAGGTCCAAATGTCAGGAATAGACAGACCCTGAACCCATTCCAAGCTGCAGGCATGTGAGCCCATCCTTGTGAACGCCCAAGGCCCTGGGCATCCCATAATAGCCCTCTGAAAAGGCGCTAGGGCTGATGGCCGGCCTTCTGAAGCTGGGGCAGAGCTGTGTCCTCTCCAGACCAAGGTGGAAAACGGATCTTCTGCCCTTTGTAAATCAATAAATAAGCTTCTGAACTTTTCCCCAGAAACTCCTTCAACAGTGACAGCCCTTCGCACTCTTTGACTCTGTGTGTGTGTCTGTCTGTCTGTCTGTCTAGCCCCCTGTGCTGGTAGACCTGCATAGACCTGTGACCACCACAAGGTGGAGCCCTTTCACCAGCTATGCTGCATTTGGCAAAGCCCTCTGTTGGATGTTGGGAGTCCGGCATTCTCGGGCACCTTCAGTTCCCCTCCTCTGGGTCAGTGGATGCAGAGCGGCCAAAGGGGCCTCCACCTCCTCCTCCTCCTCCTCCTCCTCTTCTTCCTCAGAGGGACGGAGTGAACTCTGGATGACGTCTGGCCCTTGAGCAAAAAGAAAACGCAGATGGCCTCGGACCCCACCTCTCAGGCCCAGAGCTTCCCCCTGGATTAAGAGTCCCACATCCGGTCAGTCGCAGGACCCTCTTGTAGAGCTCAGGAAGTTTGCAAAATTGTGACACGGAAGTATTTCTGCCAGGAACTGCTATCCTTCCTGTGTGGGGCCTCCCCCCACTGGTGCCTGAGAGTCCTCCCTGAGACCCGTTAGCTCACTTCCTCCCCTCAAAGGGCTTCGACTTCATCTTTTTCCTCCTCCCCCCCCTCCTCCTCCTCCTCCCCCCCTCCTCCTCCTCCCCCACTCCTCCTCCTCCTCCCGCTGTGAGACCTGGGAAATTCCAGCCACGATTCTCCCTGCTCATTCCCACTTCAAAAGACCAGCTGAAGTTAAGATTTGACTTTATTGTTTTGTCATTTACAAGGCAATAAATTAAGGTGCCGATTTCTAAAGGTATTTAGGGAAGCCAGGTTTCCAGGCCTATCAGCTGCACAAGGTACAACCAGTTCATAAATCTCTTCAGTTGATGGCGGGTGTGTTTGTGTGGGGTAAACCAAGGCAGAGGGACCTAGTGCCAGGCACGAGCTTGACTGAACCTTCAAGATGCAGACGGTTTTGAAACCGGACCCCTGAATATTCCAGATGAAGGACTCGAGGAGGCTCCCTCGGGCTGCAGGTAGAAGGGCCTGTTGAGTCCCCTCTTAACTCAGGCCCCTGAGCAGCAGCGTCCCCCGTGCAAAATCTTTGTGACCACAAGGGTGAGAAGAAACGACCAAAGGGAAAGGATGGAAGGATCCCCATCAGTCCAGGGGACGGCATGCGCAAGTACACACGTAGCAGGGTCGAGTCTGTGCAAATGAGCTTGTAAAGTGAGCTGGCAGACAGGTGTTTCAACAAACAAAGGTGAGGCCGGGCACCTTGGCAGGTGCAAGAGGGACAAAGTGCTCCTCCATCCGCTGTTCCGGCACAGGGACAAAAGTGGCGGCTTTTGTTCAGTTTGGTCCAGGTTGCCAACTTTGGTGTGCTTTGTTATTGGGACGGCAGAGAGGCACAAATACCCACCTGGGGTTGCATATTTGAATCTCCAGGAGGGGGAAAGAAGAAGAAGAAAAACCACCCCATTTTGGAAAACGAAGCTTTAGGGAAGAGAAAGCGGAGAGATTGGCTCTGTGTGGCTCCCGGAAGGAGATCGGATGGAATCTGAAAAGAGGGCCTTGTGGGGGCTTCCTCTGCAGACCCTGCCTGCTGTGGGTGGGTGCCTTTCCCTCCCTGGCTTCTCCTCCCATGCGGGGGTGAAATCTTGGGACCACCAGGGACGGCCTCTGTGTGCCCGAGAAGACTCTTGCCAAAAGTCCCAAGCACCCAAAAGAGTCTGAGACAAAACGGTCGAATCTAAAAGAAAGGATGGGGAATGCCCGAGCTGTTTGGTCTACATGCACTTGCTCTGGTGGGGTGAAAGGCGTACAGAGGTTTAAATGTCGACGGAGCCCAGCTTGGTTCTCTCTCTGAGCAAAGGGCTTCTCCAAACGAGAGAAGCTCAGCCAGGAGGAAGACCTCACCCCACAAGTCGCCATGGGTGAAAAAGAGAGAGAGGCTGACCAAATGCGGAGAGAAACGAAGGGGGCAGGAGGGGGCAGAGGACAGCTGGACTCTTCCTCACTGTTGCAGCCCCTCTGGGGCCCCAGCTTGGCCCTCCTCATCTTCTGCAGGGGGTGACGGAGCGAGGCTCAGCCGGGCCCTTCAAATGTCCGTGGCTGCGGGCCAGCTCTAGTCCACGCAAGGGGTTGGGGCAGGTCAATCATTGTCTCTGACGTTCTGGTATTCTTTAGGCATCCAGGACAACTTTACATTATGGATCTGAGGCTGGGGGCCGATTTTGTAGTCCCAGCAGTACTCGGGGGAGAGCAGCTTGGTGGGCTTGTTGAGCAGGAAGTACTTGTTGAGGTGGCTCTCGTCGTGCCAGATGGCCTCCACCTCCCGCCGCTTGTCCTGCAGGATGCCTTGGTAGCACTGCCGAGTGAGGTTCAGCACCTGCAGCGGGGTGCCCCCAAAGACTGCTCCGTGGTAGTAGTAGTCCCCCTCTTCGTAGGGGATGTGCGCGGCCGACTCGGGGCGCCTCTCGTAGGTGAAGAGGTTCCTCTGTGCCTTGTAGAACCAGGCATGGAGCTGGGCCACGGACGTGTCGAGGGTCTCCACCCCGTAGTGGCTCCTGAAGACCTGGTCGACGTCCATGCAGAAGAGGAAGTCCACCTCGAAGCGGATGCGCTGCTCGATCAGGTCCCCGATGGTCTTCATGCGCATCATGCTGATGTCTTGCCAGCGGTTGTGCTGCTTGACCCAGATAAGCTTCAGCGTCCGCTGAGGGTCCAGCTTGACCTTGGGCACTTTGAGCAGGTCATCGACCATGATGTAGAAGATGACCTGGTGGCCCGCCATGAAGAAGGTGTTGGCGGAAACCAAGAAGTCCTTCAGGTATTTGTCCAGGTACCTGGAGGGGGAAAGCAAAGGCGGCTGGGATGAGGAGGCTTCTCCGGGTGGGGCAGGTTCTAGCCAGCCCAGCCCAGCCAGCAGGGCTGAAGCCCTTGGATGGACTTCTCTGGCCGTCTCCTCCTCCTCCTCCTCACCGGCCCTTTCTTAGCGAAAGCGGCCGGACCAGGCACTTACTTCCCAATGGCGAAAACGGTCAGTCCCACGGTGACTTTCTGCCGCTTGTAGTGCGAGTTGAGGATGTCTCTTTCGAACGTCCCATCCCACACGATGGGGGCTGACCACAGGCTCATGGTGGGGACCTCTGTCCGTGCGCTGCCAGGGGCAGAAAGAGAAAAACGTGGATGAGCGTCGCTCCCTTGGTCATCTCGGCCGCCCTTTGGATGAGCTGACTCTCACCCAGCCCCAGCCCTCACGCTTCCAAAATGCGTATGGGGGGGAGGGGCAGTGGGGATCCCCATTCTTCCCTACTGGAGACAGGAAGTGGGGGAAATTTGTGCCTTTCAGCATGCTGATAGGAGCCAGATGTTTGGGAAACATCCTCCTCCTCCTCCGGATTTAATTTAAAGCAAAACAGCAGAAGCCTTTCCCCGGCTTCCTTTTATTTATTTATTTTATTTTATTTATTTGATTTGCCAATTGTTTACAAGATAATAAGTATAAGTGTATACATAGTTGTGAATACATGAAATGGGTACATATAAGAAAAATAAAAGAAGAATAAGAGAAACAATAGGACAGGGACGGTAGGCACGTTGGTGCGCTTATGCACGCCCCCCTACAGACCTCTTAGGAAAGGGGTGAAGTCAATAGTAGACA